TTATTGAAATTTACCCTCAAATTAAGGGTATTACATTAAACCCCCAAGAACTTTCAGATTTTGCCATAAACGCCCCAATATCTTTGAAAATCGCTAAAATCCCAATTAGTATTTGAAATTGCAAAAACCTCCCAATAAGTTACTGCATAAATTAAAACAAAAAAACCACATAATAAGAACAATCTCAGTGAAAAAATTAGAGTTCAGAACCTAACCAAGGCGCGAGCAAGAGAAGAATGAATGACAAATTGAGAGACTTCTGTTTTTAGGGTTGAAATATACAAAAGGTCATAATTTTTTTAAAATAATATAAGGGCTCTTTTTCAATTATTTGAGTTGTACTTGTCATGCCAGATGTAACGATAGTAATTTTGAAGGTTTTTTACAAAAGTTATCGGGCGCTAGTGCGTTTTTGAAATTTATTTGGGGTTTCATAAGTAAAGAATAAGGCTTGATATCATTGATGATGATCACTACATATTCTTGTAATAGTTTGAGACTAAATATGGAAAGTCCCAACAAAGGAAGAAAATAAAGGAGAAAATGAGAAAATAATATTTTCCTAATACATCATTATATGTTACCTAATATAAAAGATATGGTAACAAGATAATATATAATACTATATTTAACACCCCTGGTCAAACTCACAGTAGGTCAAGAACTGAGAGTTTGAATAAGATGAGCCAAGTTGTGTAGATGGTTGTTAACATGGCTCAGTGAGAGGCGATTGCATTGGAGCACATTGCTTTCTAGAATTGCAGATGGCAAGATTGTGGTGTAGTCTAGTCCAGCGGTGTCACTGTTAAGGGCGTTGTAGATAGAAGGGTTCAGCGGTGTCGCTGTCGTGGGCACTGTAGGGGAAGGGGTGCCGGTAGTATCGCTACCGTGGGCCTCACAATTAGAGAAGGTCCGGCCTCACAATTAGAGAAGGTCCGGCGGTGCCGTTGTCGTGGGCACGCGCCATTTGAGGACGGTTTGACGGTGTTTGCTGTGTGGATGCTAGCAATTGGAGAGAGTCCGACAGTGTGGCTGTCGTGAACGCTGTAGTTGGAGATGGTCCCGTGGTGTCTCTGTCGTGGGCGCTTGTAATACCCCAACCCTTGAGAGGGTGATGTGATTAGTATTGATAGATTTGATTAGAATACTCATACCATTAAGATGCATCTTCTTTTCGGGAACTCAACTCTTAGAAACTCTAAAGTTAAGCGTGCTTGGCCTGGAGAAATTCTAGGATCGGTGACCTCCTGGGAAGTTTTTCAAGGAACGCGTGAGTGAGGACAAAACGTGCTGAAAAGACATGTGGTGGTTTGTGAGACCAGTCCATCAGATCAAATAGCGTACCGACTCCGGGATTCCGGGGCGGGGCGTTACAAATGGTATCAGAGCAAAACCAACCAGAATTATGAGAGCTAAGTGCTATGCGGCGCAAAGTGCTACGTTGAGAGGACGGGAGCCACCTCTTGAGGCCGTAGGAGCCACCTCTAGAATCTCACACGAATGGTACGGTCTTGGATGATATGATTTGGCACAACGAGGACGTTGTGAGTTTAATTTGTAATACCCCAATCCTTGAGAGGGTGATGTGATTAGTATTGATTTGATTGGAATACTCATACCACCAAGATGCATCTTCTTTTTGGGAATCCAACTCTTAGAAACTCCAAAGTTAAGCGTGCTTGGTCTGGAGAAATTCTAGGATGAGTGACCTCCTGGGAAGTTTTCCAAGGAGCGTGTGAGTGAGGACAAAACGTGCTGAAAAGACATGTGGTGGTTTGTAAGGCCAGTCCATCAGATCTAATAGCGTACCGATTCCGGGATTCCGGGGCCGGGTGTTACAGCGCTGCAGTTGGGATATTAAATCAAACAAGCGACCGCTGCTATGAGAATTAGGTGTGCAAGATTTAGGAGTGTCCAGGCATATCGTTGTATAGTTGGTGGGCATGAATTGCTTGCAAGAAAGGGCTTACAAGGCTTAGAAATTGCTGGTGTTTGATGGCAACAAAGTAGGCAATGTTTTGCTTATGGCTGTAGGTGATGGTGGCATTGCATTGTACAAGGGATGAGGGATTGGTTTCTATTTGGTTAATGCTAGAGTTGATGGCAACCAAGTGGGAAGAAGTTTGCTTAAGGTGTGCTAGAGTGGTTGAGGAGGGTGGTGATCTTGTTGTAGGCAGTGGGCGAGGAATTAGTGCAAGCAGATGGTGTGCGTGTGGAAAATACAGGCCATTGGGGTTCATCATAGTCAGGTCTGAGTTGAAGAGATTGTAGAGGTGCACTGCAGGGTGGTCACAAGTGATTGGCTGCTGGTGGCATGGTGATGGTGGTTCGCACAATGACGGTGCTCTCATCAGAATTGAGGTTGGTTCTGAATTGACTGTGGTGCAGTTCTGGCTCGATGTCGGTCGAGCAGAAAGGCGATGTCGTGCGCATTTGGCTCATTGGTGCTGTTCTAGCTCGATGTTGGTCGAGCGGTGTGACACTGCCGTGTGTATTTTGGCTCGTATGATCGAGCGGTGGTGGCACTACAGTGCAAATTTGATTTGACTGTGCGAGCGACGGTGCAAAGTTGGTTCGAGTGGTCGTGTGTGGTAGTGCTACGGTGTGGATCTAGCTCCTGTGGTTGAGCAATGCGGAGCATTGGTGTGGATCTAGCTTGGATGTACGAGCTACAGTGCAAAGCGGCTATGCGATCGAGTAGTGGTGGAGTCGCGGTGCGAATCTGGTCGAGCTGTCAGTGTTGGCTCGAATTGTTAAGCGACGACATGAGATCTGGTGGAGCGGTGCAGCGCTATGGTGCAGACTAGACGAGCGGTGCTACACAGTGGTGGCACATGATGACCGAGTGGCAAGCTAGCAGTGGTCGAGCATTGGGTGAGAGTTGGGCTGAGGGCATACGACGATCAAGCACAAGGCTAGCGTTTGTCGAATGTTGGATGAGCATTGGGCTGCTGGTGAGCGATGATTTGCGGCCAGGGTTTTTATTAGAAGAGGTCAATGTTGGAGGCTAGTTTAGGACGACAACTTGGTGTTGGCTGAGGGTAGCGAGTTGTCGTTGGTCAAGGGTGAGTGGATCAGCATCGAGGCTGCTGTGGGGAAGAATGAAAATCGCAGCGAAGCCCCCTCAGCTGCTCGAGATCAAGGAAGAAGAAGGGGTATTTTTAGGTCTTATAACAAGGCTATGATACCATGAGAATAATAGAGCTTTTGGGAAGAAAAGAGACTATTTTATTCATTGCACTGAAGTGTTTAAATGCACGAGCAAGAGAAGAGGTTCTATCGTAAGCGATGTGGGATAAAAGAAAGAGATACAATATGCCTAATAACTATATTTAAACCCCCCCCAAAGGATCCTAACCTGACTCTGATACCATGATAAGTAAGGAATAAGGCTTGATATCATTGATGATGATGATTACATATTCTTATACTAGTTTGAGACTAAATATGGAAAGTCCCGATAAAGATAGAAAATAAAGGAGAAAATGAGAAAATAATATATTTCCTGGTACATGATTATATGTTATCTAATATAAAAGATATAATATCAGGAGAATATATAATATAATACTATATTTAACAGGGTTTACTACAAAATCCTAAGGTACCGTTTGGCAAAGGGTTAAGTGAGGGGTTAAGGAGACTTAACCCCTTCTTAACCTGCCAAACACAAGAAATCTATATAAGGGTTAAAGTGAGTTAACCCTTTATAATTTGCCAAACATAAAAAATATAGAAGGGTTAAGTTAACCCCTCTAGAGGGGTTAAAATGAGTTAACCCCTCAAAATGAGGGGTTTACTAATACTCCTATTTAGATGGAATAAGAGTTAACCCTTCTAATTATAAAGAAAATAGTCAAAATCATTGTTATTCCCAAACACTAAAACTGATCATAAGGGCTAAAATAAAACTTATTTAACGGGTTAATAATTTAGTCCTTCAGATTATCAAATGGGCTAAGTACATTAATCCTTCTCTTTAACCCCTCTTCATTAACCCTTTGCCAAACGGGACCTAAAAGTTTTTAGGGATGCAGTGTTATCCCTCCTGAATTAAACCATAAAACGAGAAGTTTTAGGGAAAAAATTAAAATAAAACTACTATTTGCTCATACAAACAAATGCTACTTACTACATGGCCTCGATACAAGTAGCGAGCACTTAGTTTCACCTCAAAACACACTCCTCCCGCAGGATTACTCTTCGTAAGCTCTTCTTTCTCATATCCACTATATGACTCTGTTGATACTGTCATAAACATAAAATCCATAAGATTTCAACCTGAAAAAAGAAACGTAATTCCTTAATTAAGTCAACATACCACGACTAGAATTGCTACATTCCTCCTCCTCATCTTCTATATCGATCAAGACTGGTAGTGTTTGCTCTAATTTCTTAGCAACCCAATGAGCAATCGAAGGATAAGCTATCTCACAAGTGCTCAAATCAAATGCTCTGAAATCGAAAACCATATCGCCTCGATAGCGAAAGACCAAGAAATACCCCAAACCCAAATTATGAGCATGGGCTAGCTCAGACCAACCAAGCCCTCCAATGCACATGTCTTCATCTGCATGTTTGTAAACTTCGACATGCCAAATCTCGCCAATTGGGTTCACCAACGAGGCCAATCCTAGCTCACCCTTCTTGTTCATAAGAACATTCTTAACGAATTTAGTTGGAAGTGTCTGCATTAAATAAAAATCATAATGAATGAGAGCAAGAGAGGAAAAAAAACGAAAGAATGGACAGAGGGAGGGGAAAACCAATCTATTGCTGAAACCAGGCCGGAGGACTCTGAAGAAGAAGCTGAAGCTTTGAGAAGAAGCACATTGCAGTGACTGAGCCATCTTTTTCAAGCTTCATCAGAGTTTAATGCGTTAATGAAGGAATGGGCTTATAATATATATATATATATATATATATATATATATATATATATATATATATACTATATATATATATATATAGCAATATGAGTATGCTTGGTACCAAGCATAAAAAGTTATGCATAGTAGTGATGTGTCATATTCCCCTCCACTCATTCAAATATGCGACCACATTCACATGGGTAGTGAGTGGATGAGGATGTGACACATCTACTACCAAACATAAAATTTATGCTTGTACCAAGCAAACCCATTTATATATATTATTATATATTATATATATTATATATATATATATATATAATATATATATATATAGTATATATATATTGTAGAAAGTGACATGTGGCTTGTCACAAAAGAGCATGTCTAACATTTGTAGAAGAAAGAGAGATTTCCCTAGTATTCTCAGCGTATTGAATTGACGTTCCCCAAAATTCGGTATCTCCAACCAAATCTTTTGCTTGATATGGCATTGCAATGGTGTGACTGATCATGGCACCTGGCGACCTGAAGCTCAAGTTGAGTGGAGGACCCGAGTCTTTTGAATAGTAAGTCGTCAATCTTTAATAGAATGTGCTCTGACAAACCATATTCCGCCGTCTCCTTCTCACAGGCAAGAGAATATTCTTGGCTGGGTCTAATCTTTCATACCCTTAAAATTATTCCCACAAATCTTGAAATTGTTATTTAGTCCCCAAATCCTACAAGTTACTTCAAACAAGCACTAGCTTTTCATGCTTGACGAAGATATATCTACATATGTAGCTCAAAGATAATGCCATGCATAGAACTCATACATTATGTCTGTGCTCCATAAGACCTTAGTGCACATCGGAACAAGAAAATTTACATCCGTACAAAGAGAGACATATGAACAACCATTCACTAGTGGAAAATAGCCATTTACCGACGGACAAATAGCGACGGAATATTCCGTCGCTATAACAAGGGTAATAGTGACGGAATATTCCGTCGCTATTTGTCCGTCGGTAAATTATCTTTACCGACGGGAATTTACTATTTAGCGACGACAATTATCCGTCGCTAAAAATTTAGCAACGGATTATTAGCGACGGAAATTTCCGTCGCTAATAACATCTTTAGCGACGGAAATTTCCGTCGCTAAAGAAATCTCCTGGGAAATTTTTTGGGCGCGGGCGCCCAAAAAATTTGGGCTGCCCGCGCCCGAAATTAACCCCCTAGGTTCCCCCCCTCTCCTCATTTCCCCCCCCCCTCTCCTCATTTTCCAAGCCATAAAAACCCCAAGAAAGTCCGAAACTTGGGGTTTTTATTGGGTAAAGGTAGTTATTTGCGATTACATACCCGGCTTAATTGCAGTTAAATACCCTATAGTTTCTCCTACTTGGCTTATATATACTTATATTTGGTTGCACCTACACCCTAAAGTTTCTAAGAGGTACACTTTAGTATTCTTAGTTATACAAACATGAGAATTTTCCCTCAAAAATCCTCATGCTTCACTTACACCTTGTTTGGATGGAGGTTAAAGTGAAATTCAATTTCACCTTGTTTGGAAGTTTTTGAGGGGTTAGAGGATGGAATGGAAGGTTAAATTTCCTTTCATTTTCCTCCCTTTCAATTTGGGGTGGAAGATGGAATAGAAACCAATGTAAAATTTTAGAATATGATTAGACAATTATACCTTTATGACATTAAAATCAATGGCTAAGGTATACTCTCTTTAATATGTAAAAGTATTTATGTAACTTTATATATATTCACGTCACTTCCCTCCTCTTTATTTGAACGCCCAAACAAGGTAAAACAAATTTACTTTCATTCCCCTTACTGGACGCCTAAATAATATTTTATCTTTTCACTTCTATTCCCTACATTTTGTTTCCATTATTTAACTTTCTATATCTTCCCTCAGTAAACTCCCAAACAAGGCATTAAGGGTAGGCATGGGCTAGGTTAGGCCAGGCCGGGTTGGGCCTGACTTATGAACCGATTCGTCGATTTGGGTTCATGCTAGTTCAAACCCGGGTCCAGGTGAGCCTAGGTGGGCCGGACGGAGGAATTTATTCTTGGATTTGGGTTGGACCCAGCCCGACCTACGGTCTGCATGGGTTAGCCAGTACTCTTTTTTTTTCAAATTTTTTTCTAGATTAGTATGTTTAGTTTAAAAAGGAAAAGTTGTACGGTGATAGAATTATCTCAAAGGATAAAAGATTCACAATAATTTGAGTGTTTTTGGTAAATTAAAATGACTACAAAGATTCATTAAAATACGAAATAAAGCTTAGAAAATGTCGACAACTATTAAAATTACAGCTTAAGCACCTGGAGGTTACAATTTTCAATTGAGTTGCTACTAAAATTATATCAAAATGTAACTATTACCTAAGGCGGCCCGTGCCAGGTTAGACATGGGTCGAGTCAGGTGTGGGTTGGGCCTACTTTTTTATCCCCGGGTTTAGAGCAAAACCCAGCACGACCTACGGCTCAGGTATATCGCAGGCCGAGTTGGGCCTAGCCCTCTGTGGGCCGAGTTGGTCTTGACCCAAGGTAGGTTAGGCCAGTCAGCCTACGGTTCAAACTGGCGTACACCCACCCCTAGCTATACTCACATGCTAATTGTAGAACATTTTAATTTTTGCTATTTTGTTAAAGCTACGGTTAAACTTATCAAAATTCTATTTAATATTGAATTATGGTAGTCTTAAACTAGGATTTTAATAGGTTTAACAGTCATTGTAATAAAAAAAATTGGGGTTTAAATGTTCTACAATAGCATATGATGTCACATGAGAATTTTTACGGGAAAAATTTTCATGTTTGCATAACTGAGAGTATTAAAGTGCAGCTTGTAATAACTTTAAGGGTATTTAAGTGCAACCAAATACAATTAGGGATATATATGTGCCAAATGAGTGAAACTATATGATATTTAATTGCAATTAATCCTAAATACACTAAAATTTACATGATTGCTAACTTTGATATCGTTACATTTTGTTTTTTCACCAAAAAGCACCCCATATTCCTAAAAATTTAACTTCGGTACCTTGCAAAGTCATTTTAGGATCTTAAAGCTAGTTTTCTTTACTTTTAGGGTTTATTTTTGGCAAACGCTTTGGGATATTAAAGTTAAAAGGATTAATTACAAACAGACCCCTATCGTATCGCCCAATTACAAAGAGACCCCCAGTAATTTTATATTTTGCAAATATATCACCTATAGTTATGCTTGTTGTGAACAGACCCCTTGAGTGAATTCCTTTTTATTCTTTAAATCATTAAAAATATTTGAGAAGGCGGATAGACCCCTCTATAATTCTATTGGTGAGGATAAACACTCGATGCTCTTTTTTTTTCTTTTAAGTGAGTTGAGAAAGTTCACTAAGGAGGTGTATCCACATTTGGGCCAACAGTACATAGGTCTATTTGTAACAAGTGAATCTACATGAATCTCTTTGCAATTAGGTGACACCACAGCAAGCTAGAGCAAATAACACTTAGGTATTTAGACTAATAGAAACTTATCATAAAATATGTTATGAGAACACAAGGTTCTGAACCATAAATATACAGTATGCTATGCGCCACATCGCGCAACAAAGGTACGAACAAGCAAAGCGTAGATGCCTCGAACTGAAAGGTATGAATAAATTTTTATAGTTTATCGGTTATTATTTTAATTTTTTTCGCAAATATAGATTGATTCATTGTTTCATTTGATTCTTTGTTTCGCAGGTACCGAGCGACCTCCTAGATGCGGCCGCAATGCTACTAAGGAATCGAACCTCATCCCTGATATTAATCGGAGGGCTGTGATCCGATGGGAAAACGGAGTGCCTGTTGGGGCCTTTGCCAATGCTTTCAACAATTTCCTTGCCGCTTTAGCCAGGAGACACGATTTCTTTAACATTTTTTTGACGTGGAAATCGCAGCGGATTGATGCGTTGGTGGCTTGTTGGAGATATATATGTGTGAGTCATTTATTTTAATTTTCATCATTATTAGTTATTAGTTTATTATTATGTTTAATACACTGATTTGTATCTACTTTTTTTTATATGCTGAAGCGATTTTTCTTTCTTGACGATAATATTTGTGCCTGGACGTACTGCTTCGGGCAAATCAATGTATCGTTCAAGAGATGGCGGTTTGAGGTAAAGAAAAAATATTTCGTCCAAATAACAGAAGATTGGGAGCGATTCTGGCATCTTGACGAGCGTGTGGATGGAGTAGATTTTTTTGCACTTTGCAGTTACTGGGACACTGCTGAAATTCAGGTATTATTAAAGTTTATATTTTTAATTTATTGTTTGAATTTCTATATTGTTTCGAATTGACATTGTTTTGCAGGCTCAAGCTGAAATAGCAAGGAGGAATCGCAACGCGCCTCGCAGTTACGAGCATCACGGGGGCTCCAGGACATTCAGCCAGCATTATCATCAATTAGAGCTTGAGGTATATAATATATTAGCTTTTACGTTGAGTATAATTTATGTGTTATGGGTTAATGATATATTTGAATAAAATAGGGAAGGGGAGATCTCAGACATTTTGCAGATCGTATTCTGACTTCCTGGAGCCCGAATTACGCCGATGAAGAGAAGAAAGCAAAGAATAAGGATCTGGCTGTAAGTAGCAGTTCATTTATATATTCAATTTCATATCAATGCATCATTATTAAGTCGATTTGCCCGGGTTGTTTTGATATATCGCAGGAGAAAGTACATGCCAAGGTACAGGAGCAATTGACTCAGTCTCAGGTCTGTTCTAACACTCCTGGCCGGCTAAGTAGGGAGGATGAGGACTCCATCATCGAGACGGTCATTGGACCTAGTAGGAAGAACAGATATCGGTGGAGAGGATCCGAGCAGAGGCCGCACGAGTCTAGTAGCACCTACGAGTCTGCAGCACCACAAGGAACACCAGGAAGCAGTTCATATCAAGACTCGATGGAGCAGCGATTAAAAGCGATTGAA